CTACTACGTGATGTAATAACAATAATATTATTATTATTTTAAGACAATGTCGAGCGAAATGTACCAGATAATGACTCTAAATCGATATCTACAGTACAAGCATATTGTCTTTGATAATTGGCCGCCACTGTTGGATAAATAGCGAAATCTATTCGTAGACGTATGTTATTCGTTCGGGAATGGGTAAACACCGGAGGTTGTGCGAAAAATGACAATACTGGAAGTCCGGAACTGACTAGATAGTAAGAACTGGTAATTTGAGTATAATCAAATATCATACAATATTATTTTAATTATAAATTAGTTATAATGTTTTATTTAAAATTATGAAAATACACTATTGAAAAGGAAATAATGATTTTAATATGTTTAGCAATAAAATATCTCCACTATTTCATTGGCAACATTTTAAACAATATTTATTGAGTTATTTTTCTTTTTAAAATTCGGCCATATTTCGTCTCAGAATTTAATTACGTCTAAATGCCATGTCTTTTTTTAGTTACTAGAAATACTGCGTCAATTATTTAATAGCTACGTCGATAAACTGGAATAATTTGTAATATGGCGAACTGCAGAGCACAACATATCGTTAAAGTCATTAGGTATAAGACTGAGTGCAATTCGTGGTGCCACTTATCGGGTATTTGTTTTTATTTCGGACGCCATTCGTGTGCAGCTGCCATAATATCCAGAGGTATACAGCATAATATAATACATCATAATACACTCTTGCAATCAAACAGGTAAACAGATATAACAATTAAAACGGCAGTGGTTATTTACTAGTATCGCTCGCCCGACAAATTGATTACGATCGACTGAACATAATATATCATTAATGTACAGTGTACACACACCGGTACCGCATTTATAAAACACTCACGAACTCGTACGATAATCAATATATCAAACGTACGAATAGACATTGCGGACGATATTAAACAGCATTGATATTACATTGATCGTACACGCACGTACATTGTACATTTGTACATACCTATACATACTTAGATACAGGCCACAAGCGTTTGAACTAAATAGTAAGTTGTTTGAACGATTATTGTATGTTATTATATATTACGATTATTCAATATTGTTTGCTGCGGGTACACGATTTCGCTCCATTAATAAGAATCATTATTATATTGTACACCATAGAAATATATTATTAAAACTTTTATTCGGAGTTAAATCGGTGCATGGTGTAACGAAGTAGTTTATAGGTCTATGGGATCGATGCTGTACAGTGTCATATTAGGGCATTAGGAATTTACCGCAGTTCAAATGTACATTATTCAGTATATACATACAATGTACACGTGTCACGTAAGAACCATAAAAACTGCACGATATTATACGTATAATACTACTGCATCAGACATCACTCTCCCTCAATTATTGCGCAGCGTATTATTTCATGCGAACATAAAATACACATTATAATGAAATTGAAATATTATAGTTTGGTGGAAATCGAGAAGTAGTATCTCTGATATGAAGGCAAAAGTTGTACTCGAAATTATATTTTACTCGTTTTCACACTCTCATAGTATTGTATGCTGTCGATAAATATGTATTTGCATGTATATAATATTATAATATTTGTTACAAAGGGCTTGGTGAAAACAGCCAAACGTGACGGTGAAACCTTTTCAAAAGGCGCGCGTAAATTAACAGGCTTCAAGACATCAAAAGGGTTTGCGTTTTCCAATCAAATGTTCTGTTATACGTAGGTACCAATGTAGTGTATAATAATATATAGTTATTAGTTTGAGGAGTCACGTATAGCAACCATCCATTTCAGGGGAAACATATTCAAATGGATTAGGTAACCGTGAACTTTGATTGCACCAACTATACATAATAGGTACATACAAAGCTCTATATGCTGCAGAAATGGTATACGAATACCTATTGTATTGTGCATGAATGCAGAATAAGAGCACATATAAGCGAAAACACGAGAATACAACACGTGCATCTTCAGTGGAAAACGTTCCAAGAATACGGAAAGCTGTTATGGAAGTTAGAGGTACTGTTCGACGATTGATATTATAATAATAGTTATTATAAAAGTCTCACTACCTACCTATATTATTATGTAATAACTCTGCACAGATTATTATTGAAAATTCACAAAGTTTGGTGCAATTTTGTCCTCGGGAATGTCGCGGAAGTTGTAATGTATTGTATAATGCATTTTATATGGGGTTCAATCCTCCCCAAACCCAACACTCACATACACCCCGTAGTAATCATTCCAGGAATGCCACTGTAATACATTTGAAAATAATAATAATAACCTTCAACGATTGTATTTAGTTGTTCTGATATTTGTCGGATACATATATTGCACGTAATAATTTATATGCAAAATATGCGTACCGTACAGAAAGTCGTTTATGCAACGAAACCGTGTTAGCTCTCAAACAGCTTTTAGGTTGGCAGACAGTAGATTCATAACAATCATAACACACACGCTATAAAAAACAATAATAATAATGTGAGCGCGATGTTATAATAATAATAATATAATATATGAATCACTTTTGAGACTTTGAACGTCGTCCGCGGCATAACTACAGTCATTGTTTTGTGTTATTGTTATCCGTCGAGAATGCATCCGACTTTATTTTTCGTCCACTGGTGTTATAAATACTTATTACAATATACACTATTTAGGACACATTGTTTTTATTTTTTCCACGCGCACAGAGCCAAAGAAGCACAGTAGGCAGTAACAATAGGTTAGCATGTATAATATGTAACACTTGTATAAGGCAAAATTAGAAAACAATAAATATTATCGAATAGAGCCCATAGGTGTAGATATACTGCGTACATATATTTATTTATTTATTTATTTATTTATTTATTTATATGTTTATTATATAAAATATGTATATTAAGTAGAAATAAAAATTATTATAAATATATAGTACAAGTGAGTATCGAAAATGCTGTAGCTATATTGGCGCTGCATCCCTGCATCCCTTTGTGGCAGTGACTGGTGTACGAGTAGCGGATACTCAGGGTGTACTCAACTAGCTCACACACTGTTCGTTTAAACTTAAAGACTGAGGCAGTCATTCGAATATTTAGAGGAAATCACTAATAAATTTGACTTTTAAATATTTACATAAATAAGATATTTTTTTAAAATAAGAAAAACAAATATTAAAATGTTGTCTAGTGATAAGTATTAATCTAATATTATGACAAACGATATTGTTTTACTTCAAGCAAACTTTTCGAAAACTACTATAGAAACAATTTTGGTTTTCTGTTTAATGCAGGATAACGATTTTCCAAAATTCGTATTAATTAGGAAAAATTGACTGGTACAATCAGGATGAGACACTATTAAGACGTAAAACAAGTCTGGCGCTATTACGGTGGCCCGTGGATGAACACGCTTATGTATTATATATTATGCAATATGTTATATTCTCGTCGTCTCCCGTACAACCGTGATGCAAAACACGTCAAATCCGATCGTACGGAAACCGTCTGCCCGTTTCACATGATGCAGCGCACCGCCGCACCCCCACTGCCGACCAAGGATAATAGGGGGAGGATGGAGTAGATATGTATATGGTTTAACAATTGTGAAGTTTTCCACCCCGGTTGTTTTTGTAGAGTGCAGACGTCTCGTTTTCGAAACCAAGTATTTCTATAATAATCCGTCTCGGAACGATATTCAACGACGCATGTATGGATTTCGAGTAGACTATATTTTGTCGACGCATTTTTGCGACGGTTCGTCTGTCGGCGTGTCTTTAACGGAATTATTATATTATATTTATGCATTCTAAAACGTTGCTATTCCTCACGCGTTTCCCATGCACTCGAATTTCTGACTTCCAGAGTTTATATTACTCAGACTTCGATCGACTCGGAGTATGAATTATGTGTTGTCTTGTGTACGATATTGTTGTCGAAAACAACCAACGGATCGAAGTAGGTTATGAAAATGGCATGGTACATTGGTCGGTGAAAAACAATGCACAATAATAAGTCGTAGTTACAGTGTTTGGAAACCGTAACTCAAAAACACATACGGTTTGCTCGTATGTTTGGTTTACATAATATGTATATCATACAGCTGAATCCCATTAAAATCATTCGTTAAAAAATAATAAATAATAATATAATGTCTCAAATTTCAACAAATGGATTACCCCATCGTCACCGTTGCTAATAGAATTAGTTCTTAAAGCCACTGAAATAATCGCATTAAATTATACTTTTCTATTGAAACGATGGCGACGGCACACAATATATATATATATTTAGTGTATGCATATTTACAAAAGTTTTAACATTATTGTTGCAATGGTGCATAACGACGTTCAAATGTTCGAATATTATAATATTTACAATAACGATTTGGAAAACTGTGAAAACCTTCCATTGTATAAGGATAAACTTTATTATTTAAAAATGTTTAAAAAATATCAATTATATTACACGTTGCCAAATTAACGCTTAAAATAACCTTGTCCCAAATACAATATAGGTTATTTACTTTGGAAATGTTTCCTAGTCTGGATTTTAGTTAAATTACTAAACTTTTTTGGTTCATCGGGTAATAAATTTTTAAAAATTCAATGTATACTACAAATATGTAAAATTAAAAATATTCAAGTTTAAATCGTACACGCTCATGTACAATAAATACAACATTCGAAATAATCGAAGTACCTATGTTAAACCGTATTATGTACAAAATATCTTCAGTGTTTTCATCAGGAACAAAATAAATGACAAAAATAATATTTATAGAAATCTAAAAGTTCGTATAAAACAGACTTAATCAATCAACAGTGAATAATAATGTGCGGTAAATAATGTGAATTGATACGTTTGGCGTTATATATGGCATGATACCTGCGGTTGTACACGTCATGCCCACCATACGTACATTTACTGCACAAGTACCGATTACTCAGTTACTCTTACTCGGAATATAATTAGGAAATAAAATATCGAAGATATTCAATATGTCATAATATATTATAATATATTTATACAGCATAAGACTCTTATTCTTGATTTCACCAGGTAATAGGTACAATGCAGTATGTAGTAAATTATTGCGTTGTCATAAAAAACAAATTCAGAAGTGTATTATTTAAACGACAAAACAGCGTTAAGTATCGAAATTTGTATTGACAATGAGCTTTGAGTGTACACATATTATTCATATTGATCGCATAATATTGTGACTGTGATGTTACGCCAATTGCCAGCGTGTGGATGGTGTTGTTCTCGTGTAGCATATATAGGCACTACAACATAAATAATATTATCCATTAGTTAATAAATAAATAAATAAATAATAGCAACACGTTTTACTTATCGTCAATAATCGGAATCGGAACATATAATTATATTATTATCTTGCACAAAGTTCGTAAATGTACGACGTGTTATGTCGTATAACAAGACTAGTATTGTACAAGGATTTACAGCAACGGACAAACATGCCTATACATGCTACATTGCTACAGCTGAACCGTGAACCAGCACGCAATAACTGTAGACCAAAACACAACTGCAGCTAATAGTATACAGCTAAAATAGTATATATACAGGGTGATTCGACGACCACTCTCATCCACCTCTTTTATCCTTTAATAATGCGGTTATTCAAGTCCGGATCACACATACATTTAAAATACTGCAGCATACAGTTTTTATACCTGTAATTCATATTGGGTCAAAACCAGCCGAATGACTGTGTATCTTGGGAGATTGTAAACTCGGCCCTAGGAAAAAACATTTTCAAAAGGTCGATGGTAAACTCGGCCCGGGTTTTTTTCAGGTCAATATTATTTAAATGTAAACTCGGCCCGGGTTTTTTCAGTTCAAAATTATTTAGATGTAAACTCGGCCCCGATTTTTTTCAGGTAAAAATAATTTAGGTGTAAAAAACATGATTTTTCTTATAATATTTTTGAGAAACATTTAGCATTACCCAGAGGACACTACGAGAGGAGGCGGTTCTCATTATCCTCCAAAAATTATTTTCATTTTCATATTATTATTCATAGTATGAAATTCGTTATTTAAATGAAAAATGTAATTAAAATGTTATTATATTTATAATAAAATAATAATAAATGTATTTATATAAATGTATAAGTGTAAAAATATGTAAAAATATAATAAAAAATAAATAAGTAATATTGTAGTGTAAATAATGAGTGAAAAATTTTATTATAATAATATATAAATCTAGTTTTTTTAAGTAAAAAGATATGTATTTTACATATTCACTCACTGATATATCTTTATTTTTATATTTTGTAAGTGTTCTTTCTAAGAGTTCTTTTTTTTTTTAGTTTTTATATTTTGGAATTTAAATGGTGCATCTAGGCTGTTGATTTTAATGTACGTTTCTGTTTGTACTTCTTTTAATTTTGAAATGAAGGAATATATATTGGGGTGAGTGGAATTAAAACTTGAATTAAAATGCGCATGAAATGATTCACATGCATTTGTTGTTAAATACGTTTCAACTGATGCACTGGCCCACATTTCAGGCGGAAGCATAGAATCTTCTCCTATGTATGTTTTCGGGCCGAGTTTACAATCGATTTATTTTATTACCTGAAATTTCCGGGCCGAGTTTACAATCGATTTATTTTACTACCTGAAATGTCCGGGCCGAGTTTACAATCTACCTATTTTTACTACCTAAAATTCTCGGGCCGAGTTTACAACAAAAAAGGTAACTTCGGGCCCAGTTTACATTTGCCCTGTATCTTACATTTAATGGAATTCAAAACAGGGTATATTCTCTGGAATTATTTATAATTTGTTACTTGAAACGCAGTGCAGGATCAGATATAATTAATAAAATAATAAATATATGGTTTACATAAAAACAAAGGCCCAAAATGGATGACTCTTAAGTAAATTTACAGTTTTCGACAAATTTTCCTAAAATGTTTGGAGTTTTACTAGTGAGTCACAAAATGACTCTTATCTAATGCCCCGAGTACCTACGTATCAAGAAAAAAATCTTAGTTTGGACGTAGTACGAATGCGTCCCAGTTCTTCAAAAATTTTAATAATTTACTTGGGTATTCCACGAGGAAGTGAAATTTGATTTAGGTACACCCATTTATACACATTTTAAGTTTTAATTGTACATTTGATTTGTACTATACTAGTATAAAGTCAAGTCCGTTTCTTAATATGATGGCAGAGCACTATTTGTTTTCCCTCTCTAACCCCAAATATACAAAATTCCGTTTTCAGCAGAATCAATCCCTAAAAAATTTTGCCCCGGGACCGGGGAAACACTCGGACAATTCAATAACATTTGTCGATAAGACTACTGACAAACACGTGCTATGGAAACGGTAAAAACTAAAAAATGGACGCATTCGGAACATTCCCTAAAAGTTGGTTAATAGATTCAACAAAATCCGCAGCATAGGGTAATTTTTATAAAATATTAATTAGTTTAATTTTCGATCATAGGCTATAACATATTATAGTTTTAAAATTATTGTATATGGCTATAATCTGTACTCTTTAGTACATACAATTAAATAACTTATAAACTATTCATTTGAATTTCAAGTTATATAATGAACATTATAAAAATAATTATCGGCTGAACAATTTACAGTAAAAAGTGGGATTCATTTGTAAAAAATTTATATCGATTCACGATAATCCTTAAATGACTAAAAAAATAGAATAATATACATAGAATATACATAAATTAATATAAATATAATTACCTATCTGATTAACTCGTTTCAATTTTTGAACGGAAAAAAAGGTACCTATCTGATATGTAGGTAATATCGATTTGTTTTGTTTCGCATAAGACCAAGAATATTCAAATCGGATCAACTTAAAAATTGAGCCTAAATTTAGAGTTACTATCAAGACATAAACACATTATATCATACATAATAACAGTATCGGACCCGAGTAAGATATGCGAAAAATACCACTCGTAACCACTTTAATACGCCGTATTAAATTATTGTTAAATTATTATTGCTATGTGCTTGGCACAAGTAAAATATAATAGCCCCCGGGCATGGAGCTGGAGAGGGGTATAATAATGGGTATTATAATATCGATTTAAATTTGATTGTACCCGAGTGGAGAGTCCGTTTGCGATGAATAATATCAAAAGATCACGTCGACAAAATAAGAACCCGAGAAAAAAAGTTGAAAAATGTCAGTGAGACTGAATAATAGTCCAAGCGATCGGAATACATGGATTATATAATATTATACTATACGTGCGATTTTATTAGGTTTGATTAAATTAGCGAATTCTTAACACCAAAAGCTGTCGCCGATTGTTAATGTGAGTCGGAAATTTGCGGTGTGGTAAACAAATTTGCCTAATGGTGTAATGACGGATTTTACATAATATACGTATCTCGGCCGACGAACCACACCGACGGAATCAAATCTCTGGTGGAATATGTATCGTTTCACATTTTCAGAACAGTATAATATGCGGGGTCGTATGCAGCGAATCGGAGATTAACCTATTCAGCCCGATTCAGGGGTCATGGGGGAGGGGGGTGGCGTAGTTTCGGTTATAAATGGTTCTTAATAATAATATTCAAAAAACCGAACGACGAGACGTCAGAACAGAGCGTTTCAGCGCGAGTTTCCTTTTTTTTATTTGCGTTTTACACCCGTTTGAATAACGGTTACCTCGCGGTCACATTATTATACAAAGTATACAGGTAAAACAGCGGCGGAGGACGTCCGGCCGGCTGCTGTAACGAAAACAATTTCACCACCGACGACGAGTGGCGATCGAATTACCCGGACAACACGCCCCCTACTTAGTGCAGTTTTTATTTTAATGATAGTTTTTAGTTTTTTTTACCGCGAATTTCTATTTGTGGTACTATGCGATGTACCTACTTTTGTCCAATATCACGTTATATCTTGGTATGTGGTATACACCGAGAAATGCGACGGCGGCAACGAAGACATTGTATAGCTCCATGCTCTCATCACCAAACGACTTTTTCAGCTAATTGAAAGCAATAAATGATCACACATGCAATGGGGTATTATCGTCACGCCATGGTGTTTTTGTATATTAGTGCATTTTTAGGCCCCTGCTACACCGGAAAAATTATTTTTTTAGTCTTCCGTGACGTTATTTATGCGAGATATTAAGTTTTCAAAGTCATCCAAAATTGTGTATATTGTCGAAACAAAAATGTTGAAAAACTTCACGTGCGACCGAAACACGAAAATGCTAATTTTATTTGGTAGTCAAGTCTTTAGTAACTCGATTAATTATAAATGCGAATAGTTGTTATTATCAATTTGTACAAGCAGACCATCATTATTTCCAATAAAAGATAGGTAATAATTTTTTTATTCAGACACACGACTGTATATATAACTGACTAACTGAGCCAACAACATGTTATTATATTTTATTGCTTGTATTTTGAAATGATTATTTTTCAGTGAAAATAATTAGCGTATTAAATTACAATACTAGGAATGTTTAACTATACGCAGTGTACAGTTTATTCTAAAAATAAATATATGAAACAACGTATGGAATAATACATTTATACCCATCGGCCATCATATCAGATATCACTTATCACCCTATTTTTTCTTTTATAAAAGGATCACTTATAAATTATAGCACATTAGTATCTACCTATCAGCTACCACCATATACCTATTTAAGTCAGCATGTTTACAATATTTAGGTACTTAGGGCCAATTAAATGTATTTATATTTTCGAAAGCTTTTGACGAAATGTATTTGTTAAGTTAATAATAATTTAGGCCATAAATTCAATAAAAAAAAAGCTTGGCAAGTTAGAGATCGGCAAGTATACTTTTTTGATTTTTAATTTTTAGAAATTTGTTAACGGTATGCAATATGTATATGTACATTATTACAATATGATTAAACTAAAATTGTACTTAAAGGAAATTATTAATTGCAAATTAATTTATTGAGAAGATATTACATTATAGTAGAATGCAGTAGGTTTAATATAACTGGTTCGAGTTTAAAAGGTATTTAAGTCATTTTACTTGTTTTATTTAATAAATTACCTATTTATTAAACTTGATAACGAATAGTGTGCCTAGTATGAATATTGTCCGATATCACACCCAAGCGGTATAACAATTTGAAACCAGAAATTTGAGTATTCAGTGTGAACAGCCACGAAAAAAAAATCATTTTCATTTTCATTTAGTGAGATAAATCTTTGAAACAGGAGAACCTATTTTATTATTGGGGGTTTAGTTAGAT